CCCACGACCAACATAATCCTGCCCGGAATTATGGAGCAATTTTTAAACGGTTAAACGGTTCCAATCCCTAGTTTTGACAATAAGTATAAACCTAGTAAATACCTAATGTGATCCTAATTGTCACACGTCCAAATAGTTTGGGCTACATCCCTAATTTGCCGGTCATTCAAAAGTTTCATTCTTAATTTCGATGAATCAGAAAAACACTCTAAACAATAGCAGTGGCGCAGTAAATGTCCGGCAAATTAATATAGTCGTTGCATATCGAATTTTTTAAAAATTATGCAATTTGATTGGTTAATTATCACGGGCGATCAACAAAATTTAACCAATCAGATGAATGTCTTACCATGAAGAAATAGTAAGTCAAGAAAAATCGGAACCAACTAGGAATAGACACTGAGCCGAATGATACTATGCAAGTGTCTAATTCAAGCGAAGCTATTTCAGAGTCTTTACAGACACCACCTCAAGAACAATCAGAACCAACTAGGATAGACACTGAGCCAAATGATACTATGCAAGTGTCTACTTCAAGCGAAGCTAGTTCAGAGTCTTTACAGCCACCACATCAAGAACAATCGGAACCAGCTAGGATAGACACTGAGCCGAATGATACTAATTCAAGCGAAGCCATTTCAGAGTCTTTACAGCCACCACATCAAGAACAATCGGAATCAACTAGGGTAGACACTGAGCCGAATGATACTATGCAAGTGTCTACTTCAAGCGAAGCTACCTCAGAGTCTTTACAGCCACCACATCAAGAACAATCGGAACCAACTACGATAGACACTGAGCCGAATGATAATAATTCAAGCGAAGTTATTTCAGAGTCCCTACAGCCACTACATCAAGAACAATCGGAACCTGGAAGGATAGACACTGAGCAGAATGATGCTAATTCAAGTGAAGTTATTTCAGAGTCTTTACAACCACCACATCAAGAACAATCAGAACCAACTAGGATAGATACTGAACCGAATGACACTATGCAAGTGTCTACTTCAAACGAAGAATCTTTACAGCCACCACATCAAGAACAATCGGATCCAAATAGGATAGACACTGAGCCGAGTGATGCTATGCAAGTATCTACTTCAAACGAAGCTAGTTCAGAGTTTTTACAGCCACCACATCCTTCCGTTCAAGCCGACTCTGAGACATCACATGAAATACCTCAACCCGAAAATGACTTATCAAACAAAACTGAAGAGGAACCATCGGTAACTGAAGGACCTAAAATTGAAGATTTATCGATGCTGGTAGAACCACATAAAATTGAAGAATCATCGATGGTGGTAGAACAACATAAAGTCGAAGATTCATCTATGGTAGAACAACATAAAATCGAAAATTCATCGATGGTAGAACAACATAAGATTGAAGATTCATCGATGGTAGAACAACATAAGATTGAAGATTCATCGATGGTAGAAACACATGAAATCAAAGATTTATCAATGATAGAAACACATGAAATCAAAGATTCATCTATGACAGAAACACATGAAATCAAAGATTCATCTATGGCTGAAACACTTGAAATCAAAGATTCATCTATGGCTGAAACACTTGAAATCAAAGATTCATCTATGGCTGAAACACTTGAAATCAAAGATTCATCTATGGCTGAAACACCTGAAATCAAAGATTCATCTATGGCTGAAGTTCACAAGGCTGATGAAGATTCGACTATGATAGAAACCCACAAAACTGTGGAAGATTCGATAATGGCGGAGGTACATAAAGCCGAGGATCAATTATTGGATAATTCTATGGCCCTCACAGACTACTCCAATGTACCACCACCTTCTTCACTTACCTCAGCTTCAGGACCAGTTGAGTTTAGTGATGCTATGGCGAAAGTAAAAGCTATCGCAGCCAAATTGTTACAGACAGGCGACGCAAATACAGCACCCCAAAACAGTAATAATAACAATAATAACAATAATATTAATCTTAATACTAACGTTGGCAACAATAACAATAACAACAGTAAGGATTTTTTTTTATAATTAATCATAACTTGTGATAAGCACTAATATTCAAGTATTATATCTAAGATACTCAACAAGGCATTAAACGATCGCACGATGACAGCTATAACTCACATGGTCCAAGAGAAAGTCGAGATGATTACCGGGATGACTATCGTAGAGACTCTTACAACAGACGAGATCGAGGAAGTCGTTACGAAGATTATGGAAGAGATTCAAAAAGAACGGCTTATGATGGTGGTTCATCTCGCCCAGAGCGTATCCTTCTTTGCATTTATATGTTTATAGTAAATAAGAATTTAATCAAATTTCCTTAACCTTAATTCAATTACTTAGACGATAATAATAATAATAGACATCGTTACGGTATAGGAAGTGAAGATCGACGTTCGTACCATGGTTCCCATTACGGACCACTCGGAGATTCGTCTCGTACTTCAACTCAAGAAGAATTTAAGGTACCTAATGCAGTCGTAGGTTTAGTTATTGGTCGAGGAGGAGAGAATTTGAAACGAATTGAAAAGCAGACAGGAGCACGGATCCAATTTTCACAGGGTAATTAAAATACATGATGGGTGATATCATTTTTCTACGAATCTAATGAGGTTTTTTAAACCACCAATAACAGATCAACCACCAGATGTTATAGAAAGACGAGTAACTATTACTGGTACACCAGATGATGTTAAGAATGCCAAAGGGATGATTCAACAACTTGTCGATGATGCTATTAACGGAAATGCACTTAATCGTCGCGATTTGCAAGGTGGAGGTAATCGTTCAACTATCACAATTCACATTCCAAGTAGTAAAGTTGGTGTCGTTATCGGCCGAGGTGGCGAAACCATTCGAGACTTGCAGGATCGAAGTGGTGCACGGATCAACGTAACACCGGATGGTGCAGCTAGTCCACAATCTAATGATCGTTCAGTAACTTTAATCGGAGATGAAGCAGCTGTTCAAAGAGCCAAAGCTCTAATTGATGAAATTGTAAATACTGGTGATTCTGAACCTAACAGGGTATGTAATTTCCATTATTATTTTATTTATTATTTTAGTTTCTTTTTTATTTTATTTTTTTAATTTTCGTGTCGTAAATTTTCAATATAACTGTTGTTAAGGGTTATCCTAAAGATTACCGCTCAAACAGCTATGGTGGAAGCACTTATAATAATGATAACCACGGTAATAACTATGGTGGTGGTGGTCATTACGGACCATATGGTGGACATCCTACAGGAAAATCTAATCAAGATAGTATCACTATCCAAGTTCCAAATGATTCTGTTGGATTAATCATAGGAAAGGGTAAGTAAATTATACTTGACTGTTGTTTATTTCGGGATATTAAACAACCTAATTTTTATAGGAGGAGAAACAGTAAGAGCACTTCAACAGCAATCAGGAGCAAAAATACAAATTGAACCTGTTCATGGTGTTCCGCCAGTCGAGCGCAACGTACAAATTATCGGTAAGCATATGTATAACTCATTGTCTAGCTGCATGTGATAACTTTCTTGCCTCCAAACGTTGTAAATTCAATGTCAGTTGCTCGATGCGCATTGTGTGCATGATGACGTCGCTTGATATAGGTTCTGCTGAAAATATTACTGTCGCGAAACAATTGATTCTTGAAAAAGCTGCATCTGGAAATGTACTGTCGTTTGCCTTTGTTTGTTGAGTGTGATTGCTATAGTTTTTTTTGGATAATTCTTTTTTTCCTTTTTGTAATTTAAAGGCCCAATTTTGACATGATTGATGATGATTTTCGTATTGTATATGTATATTTTTTTTCTATTTTTCTTGATTGCACATTTGGATATCTTCACAGCGCGAAAGGCCATCACGTCATGGTGACCAAAATAGGGGATATGGAAACAGGTTAATCTCGATAGCTTGTTATCAAGATTATTATGGAATTATTGATTCTCAAATAATTTATATTGTTTATCTGAACACATGATATAGGGATTACGGATCGGGTGGATATCAACAAAATCCATATCAACATCAGCAAAATAGCTATCAACAAGGCAACTATCAACAAGGAAATTATCAGCAAGGAAGTTATCAACAAGGTGGTTATCAACAAGGTACCGGCTATCAGCAAAGCAGCGTTAACTCAAGTAATACAGGAGGTCCCGGATATCAGAATAATGGATACTCCACTGGAATATATAACACGCAGCCTCAACAAACTGCCTACGTTCAAAACACTACAAATGATTACGGACAACCCATATCTAGCGGATATCCTACTGCTGGTGTATATGGAACACAAGGCCAACAGCCTACAAACTATGGTCAATATGGACAATATAATACGAGTCAAACTCCTACAACATACAACCAATTTCCTGCTCAGACACAATATGGAACTTACGGCCAAGCTACTCAATATAATCAACCTCCTACCGGACAATCTACACCGGCACCTGTAGTACAACCTGTTGGACAGCCCATTAATCAACAAGGTTTACATAGTTTCAATTATTTTTTAAAACTATTTATTTTATATCAATTTTTAAATTGTTTATTATTTTTAAGTTGGTTATTATCAGACTCCAGCAGTAAATCAAACCAAACTTGGTCAGGGAACTGATGTCAAACAAGATGGTCAATCTGTCTCTGTAGCGCCAAATTACGGCTATTCACAATATGGCTATACTTATGGAACGACGGCTGCTACAACAACAACTTCACAGTATTCTAATACTACTGGCCCACAAAATCTCACTACAAATACAACCCATACACCCAACGCGTATGGTTCTACCGCGTCTGTATATGGTGCGGTAACAACTGGCACAGCCATTCACTCCTCTGCTGCTGCTTCAGCACCTGGGACTGGAGATCAAACTACTACGCAACAACAGACTTATTCCGGTTATTATGGTCAGCAATACTCTCAAGATCAATACAGTCAACAGCAAAATTATTACCAACAATATTATCAACAGCCACAAACATATAGCTATCAAACGACGACTACAAATACTCATTCAGCGGAGTCCCAAAAGTAGTAATCGTAGTTGATTAAAAATTTACTCTCTTAGCCGAGTCGATAATTTTGATACGCTAAGCCGGCTTAGTCGGTTATTATTTCAAATTTTTTTTGAACTATAATCCAGAAACTCCCACTGATTATACTCGTATTTTATGCTGGCTTGTTGACTACATTCCGAAGTTCCAGTTATTTTTAAGGAGATAGCTAAAGCCAGGTACATCACAACAGTATTTAAAATCAATTTTGGATTACGGTTAGGACTTTGTATATAGGTAAAAATCGCATTTCTGACACGTGCTTAAGACTGGAATTTTTCGTTTAGCTTTTGTTTGATTCGGAATGATCTGGGTAAATCTTGTGATGTACTTGGATTGGTTTTACTCTTTTTTGGAGTTTATTTTTATATTTTGTGGGTTATATGCATAAAGTTTATTGGCTAATATTTTACATATAAATCTTTATTTTATTAAATAAAAAAAAATAAAATAAAATACTGTCGCATAAATTAAAAAAATTATCGTTATGTATTTTTTGTAAAAAAAAAATATATTATACGGGAAATTCTATTTTGACCCGGGTCAAAATGACCCTCCAGGGTTAGTGCAGGCCAAAATTATGTTAATGCCGGCCGGGTTTTTATATTAAAAAACCCTTGCCGGCATCAATATAATTCTGGCCTGCACTAACGCTAAAATTTTGCTGAGGGTCATTTTGACCGGGTCAAAATAGAATTTCCCATATTATATATATATATATTTAAATTTACAGTATATATACCGTATACGTATCTTTCTTTTGATTAAGATGCCTTTTTTTTTAAACGCATAAAAATCTAGTTATATTTAGATAACACGAGTATAGTTAAAATTTTATTTTTTAAATATAAATTGTGATTGGTCAAAAAATTTTATAATAAAAATCTAAGTTTTTGAATATTAATAGTAAGACCATAAATAAAAATCTAAGTTTTTGATTGGTTTAAAATTTTGTGTATTTTTTAGGTCTCCTCCAACCTATTCTAGCTTGAAATAATTAACTATAACATTTTATAAAAAATAGGGGGTGTAATGTCTCATTGGGTGTTTTATGTAACACACAAATGTAGTTAGAAATCTTTAAGTTTAGAATTATTTTTCTATTTGTAACAAAGTTTCTACTATGGCATTATATTAATAAAAAAAATATATATATACTGTATTTGGTGTATTTTGCTATAATTTATTTTATATAACATTTTAAAAACTATAGTATTTTTATTTAAATATTTTGTGCTTACCTTTAAAGATTAAAAAAAAATAAAAAATATTTTGTGATCATTTTACAAAAAATTGTTTAGTATTTTGTATACTAAGTAAAGATGTAAACTGAAATTCAAAATAAAACTGCAAAAAATATTACTTAATAATCAATTATTGTTTTAATTTTCTTTTTGAATTTTGGTTCACACTTTTAGTAATAAGTAAATCTAGTAATACAAATTTAATTTCTCAAACAATATTAGAATGAATCACTAATTGTACAGTCAGTCCTCTTTAAATACATGACATTGGGACCATAGTAAAAAATTGAAAAAATATGCATTTAAAGAGGTTATACATTTAGTGAGGCAAAAATCTATAAGTATTATATTAGTTGAATCCAAGAAAAGACATGCATTTAGGGAGGTTTTTCATATATATGCATTTAGGAAGGTCTGATTATATAATAAGATAAGTGCACTAATAATTTATATAATATCTATGACTATAATAATTTTATTAACTAATTATTAAAGATTTCTAAAAAAAAAATTTAAAAAATAGGTTAGTAATATTGGTTTTTATTAACAATTAACTATTGGATTATGAATTTTCTATTTAACAACATATTATAAATATCTCTAATCAGCTTCTTTTAGCTCACAATTTTTTAAACTAAAGTAAATTAATTGATTAAGAATATAAAGTAATATTATATATAGAAAATGATTGTCAAATTTTTTAAGGGTAGGGTATACAAATTTCTAATTTCATATAAAATAGATTGTAGATCAACTTTGTGTAATGAATTTT